TGGAACGCATCTTTCGTAATCCAAGAACGTATGGATGTTAACTTGTGATCTGTCAAATGAAGGTTGGTGAAGTAACAGTCAATAAAAGCGATAGTAAACACAAAAACGTTCCACGACAGACGCCCATCCCGCCCTTAAGCTTTCCCACATCCACTACTCAGGTACTACCGTGCCTCCCCATCATCCCCCCATCCATCCAATGAACACGACCCCAATCCCGCTGACCCCTCATCCTCCTCTTAAAGCTCTGAATCGTGCCTCGGAGCCTTCCCATAGCGTCACGTAGCTCGCATAGTCCCGCGTAGTTCCTGCATAGCTAGTCATAGCCGACATATAGTCCCCACGCATTCACGTAGTCACCCGTAGTCAATCACTACCTCAACTGGTCAGATCGTGTACATCACCACGGACCTGGACGCCGTGGCTGATCGTCTCCTGCTGATCGGCGGCTAGGTGCGCCAGATCGACAGACTCCAGACCCACGACGGGAAGATCGGTGATGCGAAGTAATTGGAATGCACGGAGAGGGGAAGTCGGCACGATGGAGTTGAGATTTGGGGTCGATTGAGTTTGAGTCCTGGTTCGTGTTGTGGTTCTGTGTTGTTGCGGCGAGGTGCGAAGGTGGTTGGGTGGTGACGTCATGGTCGCGGGTAGTTTGGGGGCCGAGGATATATTGGTTGTTCTGCAGTCGCTTCACCTCGCTGTTTATCTTCTCTGTCTTTTGCGCTTAAGCCTAAGAGGTCTTTTTATAAAAGTACTTTAGTTATATATATTAAAAAGAAGATATTTAGTAATAGTAGTTTACTAAGCTATTTATCTAAAGTAGTTATTTTTATATATACTTATAGTAGCTAAAAATAACTCTATAATAAATTTATAATAAGTTATTATAATAGCTTATAAAGTAAAGATAGCTTATATAAAACTAAAGTTAAAGCTTAAATAATATATTTATAAAAGTATATTTACTACTACTATTTTTATTTCTTTATTATAATTATAAATACTTTATACTTCTAAAAATTTTTTAACTACTATTTTTTTATTTTTACTAATAACTAAGTAACTTATTTTACTTTTTTAATTTTTACTTTAAATTTTAAACTTAATATAATTTACTATAAAGCTTTATTTACTAAAAAGCTATTAGTAGTAACTATATATATATAAAAAAGCTAGTAAATACTTTATAAGCTTAAAGTAAAAGTAGCTTAGTTTATATTTAAGTAGCTTAATAATAGTATATAATTTACTTAAGTAATAGTATAAAGTTACTAATATTTTTTTTAGTTTTTAGCTTTTTTAAGTTTTATACTAATAAGCTTATAAAGTTAAAAGTACTACTTTAAAAGCTATTTTTAGTATAGCTATAGCTTATACTTATTAGAAAGATTTTTTTTTAATAAGTAAAAAAACTTAAGTAGTAAATAGTATTAGTAAATATATTAATTAATTACTATAGTAAGTAATTTTAGTAAAAGTAAAAAAAAAAGTATTATAAGTTAATTTTATAGCTTTATAATATTTTTTATTTATATAGAAAAGTAGCGTTATAAAAGAAAAAAATTTACTTTTAGACTAGCGCTTTAGTAAATAAAACTAGAATTACATTAATACATTAAGGACCTTGCTGTTTATCCCTGCCTCGCTGTACATCGATGTTCCGATAGCAGCAGCACTACGATAAGTGCGATTACTCAATGCTCTAAAGATCGATGTGTAGCGGCGAGGTCGTCACGAGAGCGACATGGGGATTATGCATGAATCTTGAGCATCTTCATTCTTTTTGCATCATTGTCACTGACACATCTCCATAATTGCGTTCTGTATTGTTACTTCCATCAATCTGGACCACTATCCTAGGAGTGACGGCCGACAGGGCTTGTAATGTCTACAGTTGCGCACTCAGGGCTTCGATCCTAATATCAACTTGTATGCACGCTCATGCAAACCCATCTACGCAAAGCACCGCCGCAGCCAGTGCGACTATTCTATTCTGATCGCGTTGATGCAACCCATGCGGTAACGTGCTTGGATGAACGAGTAATACCATCTCATGCAATGGAGAAGCTTGACAGGCCTGCAGCCTACATTGGGACGAGAAGAAACGGATGGGAAAACTTAGCGTTAACGTAGTCTTCAAAGCAATCCCAAATCAACACCACTCATCCAATCCCCCACCACCTCATCAGAGAACCTCTCAAACTCCTCCCAAGACTTAGCCTCCAGCTCTTCCTCAACTCTCCCACCCCGTAATCGCCAACACCCCACTTCGCATCTACAAGCCGGCGGATAATGATTCTGCGGTCTCCACGCCTCATCCTGATCATCCTCGCCCTCGTCGTCTATACCAATAGTTTCCAAATCAATAGGGTCAGGCTCATGCACAGCGAAAATACGATAACACAGCCCAGGATACTCCTCAAGGTACATAGCATGCCGCTTGAAGATATCATACCACTTCTCCTTCACCCACGGCTGTACATCGCCAGTTAGGGTAATCGTCTTGATATGTTGAAGATACCCTCCATACCAAGCATACTCCATTATCCAATCGATAACCAAGCCACTATCGCAGACATGCGGGCGCAGTCTTGCTTCAGCGTAGTTGCATGCCGGATTTGTCTCGCACCAAGCAGCTTCTTGGACGTCGTACCAGGGGTTTGCGTGCTTGTATGCGTCGCCGAAATGGATCTCAAGTTCCTTGGTGTGCAGAAGAAAATGGCCGGCGCCGTGGCAGAATTCGTCGCGGTATAAGTTGTCGCCGGCGACTGCACCGTCGCGGTAATGGAAGGGTGGGACTGCGACGTCGAACATGGCGAAGTATTGTTCAGCGGTGAAGTCGAGTTTGATTTTTTCTAGTCCGTGGAGTGATGAGAGATGCTTCATGCGAGCGTATTGCGCACCACGATCGGTCATTACCGGAAACTTCGTCGACAAGGAGAGTTTCGGGTCCTGGCAAATGGCGTCCCATGGGTGGTTGGGTAGATAATACCAGCCTATGCGGTCTTTCATCTTCAGACTCATCAGGAGATGGCTCATGTAGAATGTTGCTGGGTCGGAGAACTCTTTGAAGTCGGTCAGCCAGGAGCAGATGCGAGACCGAAAGTATTCTTGGAAAATGAATGATTGGGCATCGCTGGTCCGGGAGATGGTGGCGAAAGGATCGATGTTTTCAGGATTGGTGTAGGATAGTGTGTAATGAGGATGGGCGGAGCCATCGATTACGATGCGTTGCTGGCCGAGCCATTGCTTTAGCACGATGAGGAGTAGTTCTGGGGGCAGAGTCTGTGCAGCGACTTGGAATGTCATTTCATCATCGTTGCTTGAAAGATGTGCCATGGTTATGGATAACGCCTTGCAGAATAGGCGTCAAGACATGGGTAGAGAGCCTATATATATATATATTACAAAGCGCATGCTTAAGCGCATCGTTGGCATGATTTTCGTCACTGCGCGTGGTTTACAGTTCGGTTCGTGAATCGGTACCACAGTTCGTACTCGACACCTGACATAGTGCGGAAACGCGGAGACACTAAGGTGAATTTTCGATACTGCTGCGTTGTAACCAAGTAAGCAACAGTGTTGTTAGCATGAGTGTGAATATGTGCTAGGTATTGATGTTGACGAAGGCTGGCGGAGGAATCGGCTTTGCCAGGTTCGCATTGACTCAGGATCTGAGCCATAGTTGGGAAGCGTGGCATGACAGATCCTGCGCCACAGAGGATCATCTTGACAGTGTACAACATGAAATAGTTGATCGGACAGAAAGCAGTATTTTGGTAACATTGAAATATCGCACACGGTTGCTGATGTTTGCCAGATATTGAAACAGGTAGTTATACAGTCGCTATTGAACGTGGTCATGATCGTCGTTTGGTTGGCGCTGGACTCCAGCCCTGGGGTTGCCATTCCTGACTTTGAGCCGCCTGCTTCCACGGCGAGTCCTTGGGCTCCTTCTTCATTCTCTTTCTGGGTGTGAAGGCAGGCGCGTCGTCTTCGGCAGGCGGTGCTGGCGGGTCGCGTGGCATCTGCTGCGGCTCTGCGGGTTGTCCGGGCTCTACTGGCGCTGGTCTCGCGGCTTCCTGATCCAGAGATCGCGGTGGCTCTATGCTGTCACGTATCTCTTGGTCGGCATTCATTTGCGTGACGCCGCTGTCTGGGTCTCGCGACTGCAACATTTGCACAGGCTGCTGCTTATCCGGCGCATCGAGCGCTGACGGCTTCTCAGCCCATCGTGCATCTGCCTGCGCTGCGAGCTGCTTCATGCGCTCCTGCCTCATCATGTCCTGGTGTTGTTCGGCGACGGTGGGGGGTTCGTAGCGCGTGTGTCTCAGCCATTGCATCCATGACGCTGCCACAGTCAGCCTCGGTCAAACACTGGATATGGAAGGAACGAACGTGATATTTGCACGTCGCCATAGTGAGTGCTGCGACTGTATTTTGCTATCCGTCGGTTGCGCAGGGCGTGCAGAGCGTCCTTGAATTCCCAAAAGGTGTTGCCCTGGAGATCAAAGCCTACGAGGTGTTATTACTTGGAAGCAAGGATACGCCAGAGACCTCTGTTGTGGCCTGCACTCACCCACAAGCCACTTCTTGCGCCAGGGGAAGCGCTTCATCTTCCATTGGTACCATGCCTTGCGAATTGGACCCGGTGCGCCCGCCATGCTGAGTCTCGTTGGGCCGCGAACAAATTCCAGCGGGCGAATATCTGGAGGCGACTTTGACGCGCAGGCCGGTGACGTTGGGGCGAGTGGCTGGTGCGTTCACGTTAGCATATGTGCAAGCATTCCCCCACCACCAAGTTTCTCCACACAACAACACATGCCATCATTGCATACCCCGACGCCACAACAACACAATTAGCAGTCGAGGCCCTTACATAGAGACATATACATTACCATATCTCACTACTACACCTCGTGCACCCTCCCCATCACCGCCCACACGACCTTCGTGCCCAACCGCAACAAGCCTGATTTGCGCCCAAACCAACCACTATGGCGTCTGTAACGTCGCTGGACCAGGACATGCGGAGGCTGCGGATGGACAGATACACCCCCCAAGCAGCCAATGAAGTCCGCAGCTGGATAGAAGACACACTCGGAGAGCGCCTGCCTGCGGGAGATCTGCTGGATGCGCTCAAGGACGGGACCGTATTATGCAGGTACAGTGATATCCGTAGAGCTACCAGGTAGCCGGGCCAGTATAGCTAACTTTTTCAGACTCATCAATCTCGCCATACCCACGCCTGTCCGGTTCAAGAAGTCGAATATGCCCTTCATACAGATGGAGAACATCTCGCACTTCCTGCGAGCCTGTGAACAGCCGCCGCTGAACATGCCCGCCCATGATCGCTTCCTCACCGTCGATCTCTACGAATCGAAAGATCCAGCTCAGGTGCTGCAGTGTCTCGGCGCCTTCAGCCGTGTCGCCAACGCGAAGAACCCGTCCAACTTCCCTAACACCATTGGCCCGAAGCGTGGTGGAGCTGGCGCGTTGAGCCCGACGGCAACTGGCGGCATGCCGAGTCCTGCACTGCCGTCTCCCGGCTTCCCTCGCAGCAGAGGACCCAGCACCGCCAGCAACACCAGCGGCTCGAGCACATTCAACCCCCTTGCGCGACCTCCTGCCGAACGAACGGCATCGACGCTTAGTGCCGCACGCACCGGAGGCTCAGACACATCATACACATCCAACGGTCTCCCCAAGTCGCCCCCAGGCGGAGTCAGTAGCTGGAGCAAGAAGGTCGACGAAGGTAGCACAGCACCGGCATGGAACATTCATCAGTACGGATACATGGGCGGTGCGAGTCAAGGCAACCAAGGCATCTCATTTGGTGGCCGGCGGCAGATCACGAGCGCAGGTCCGCACGTGCCCAACCTGGCTGAGAAGGAGCGACTGCGACGCGAGAGGGCAGCCGAAGAAGAGCGACTCCGTTTGCAAGCTGAGGAGGCCGAGAACATACGTCGCGTCGAACGCGAAGCCGAGGAAGAGCGCATACGGATAGAGGAGGAGCAGAAGTGGGAAGAGGAGACACGCAAACAGCAGGAAGCCAAGCAGGCGCGACTGGATCAACAGAAGCGCGAGTGGGAAGAGCAAGAGCGCCAGTGGAAGCTGGAGGAGGAGCAACGCCAACGTGAAGAGCGCGAGGCACAGGATAGAATCGACGCCGAGACGAGACGAAAGCGCGCTGGAAGCGATGCCAGGCTCAAGGGGCAGTACCTGAGCGAATACCAGGCTGAAAAGGTCAGGTCACCGCGTAGCCGACGAGGAAGCAGCGAAGAGCCCAACGCTGAACGCGACCGCATACGAGAGCTGGAGCGCCAGCTCGAAGAGGCCAAAGAACGCGAGCGCCAGTACCAGGCAGAGCGCGAAGGACGCCTGTCAGATAAGAAGGTGCGATCGCGGTCCAAGAGCCGTACGCGCGAGCGATCAAAGAGTCGAGCCCGACCAGCGCCTCCACCCCGCGCTCCCTCGCCACAAGACAGCAACGTCTCATGGGCGCAAGCAGACGACCGCGAGTACCTACGCAAGCAATGGGACCAGACACAGAGACAGCCAGCGCGACCCCTCCCCGAACCCGCAGCGCCATCTCTCCCCACGCGTCCACTACCAGAACCAACCACGCGACCCCTTCCCGACCCAGCCACATACACAAAGCAGAGCCGGACCGACCGCTACCTCTCCTCCAACCCGGCCCCCACACCACCCAAACCCCAAACCTACATCCCACCCGAGCTCACATCCACCTCGGAACAACGCGGCGAAGACGCCCGCCGAGCCGCCGCTCAAACAAAGACAAAAGCCGCCGGCTGGGCCAGCAAGTCCCTCCTCGAGCGCGAAATGGAGCGCGAGCGCGAGCGCCAGAAGGAGTGGGAAGAGTCGCAGCGTGCGCTGCAAGAAGCTGCCAAGGATCCTAATGCGGGGACTGGTGGAGGCCAGAGCTGGGATGTCAATCAGTATGGGTATATGGGTGGGGATAATCAGAATAAGTTGGGGGGCATTGGGGCGGGGAAGAGGCAGATTATTGGACCTAGGCCTTTTGGACCGAGGTAGATGGATGGGATGAGGAGTGGGGGAAGGGGTGATTTCGTTTGTTTAGGCTTGGTAGATGTTGCATGTTAGCGCTGCTTGCGGCGGGATATGTACGTTTTTCTAATACATTAATTTTAGACTTTCTGCACATCTGCTTTGGTCATCGAAGAGTACATTCTGCTAGGTATGATGGAGATCAATCAGTCTTTCTACTCGTTACCATGACCTTGACCCGAGCTAGAAACATGTTCCGAATTGTGTTGCTGAACGACTATTATGTTGTGTAAGTATCTTGATAGCTTGTGGGTTCTTCACAGACATTGATATACGGGTGTCGAGCCCGCCTAACCCGTCTTACTCACAACGAAAGCTACAAACAGACCACAAGCAGTCACCATATACGCGCTCACGCCGAAGGCACCCTGAATATCGTGCTCCAACACCGACCAACAAACTCCGAAAAGCAAGCTTCCTAAGATGAAGACCACAAAGCTGATTGTGATGATGAGGTCGAAATCCCAGCCTTCTTGGAAGTAAAAGCCCCATCCGTCAACTGGCTGGTCATCGATCGTAGATAATTCGCCGACCACACGTTTGGGTGCTCGATGCAATATCCAGGTAGATTTCTTGTCGACACTGGCCGGGCTTTTGAGCATACGAAGCAAAGTATTTGGCCCGATAGGCGGCCAAGTACCAGGTGGACAAGGGATGTCGCAGCGATATTCTGCGTTGGGGAAGGGCTCGATGATGTGCACTGGCGGTAGGCATTCACAGCAGCTTGTTGTGGAAATTGGGGAGGGGCACGATAGGTTGTGGTCGCGGATGTCGACATGTTCGTTGTTGTGGAGAAGGAACTAAGATCATCTTAGTTCTGGTCGGCATGCTCGATTTGGCTATTTGACTGACCTTTGTGAAGAATATTCCTTGGATAGAACGGCAGGATAATAGGCGCAGTAAACGGTTGCGGCGTTGAGCTATCTTGCTTCTGAGGAGGGTAAAGAGTGCTTGGTCGTTTCTGATGGTATAAATGTCGGTTTGAAGTAGTGCTGGATCGTTGCGATTGCGATGTACGCAGGTCATTAGATGGACAGTGTTGAGCTGTTGCTGTGGGCTCCCTGGGGGTATCGTATTCGTTGTGGTAGCTGTGCCACTGATGTTGTGCCGAGGCAAGCCTGTATGATTACGGTTGTGCCATGGAAGCAATAATAGTATGCTGCTACTAATGTGATGTAGCCAAGTTGAGACCCTAGTAGTGTATCGTTGGACAGCGAAAACGTAGTTGTAGGACACAGCGGTAATCTTGAAGTCTGGTAAAGACTGTCGCATCTCTTGTACTAATTCCTTGATGCCATCCGTTCGTAGTTCAATGAAGTCGTCGAAGAATCGATCGCCGGAGCTCTACGGTGAACTTCAGTGACGTTCATCACACGAAAATCGTTCGGAGACTCACACTGTCACTTCTTATTCGAGTCCAACCTGGCATTAATGAAGGCTCCAGCCACCCTAAGGAAATGAAGACATCATCGGTCAACAAAAAGACAGCATCTAGTAGGAGAAACAAGGCGGCTCTCGCGCCAAGTGATCGGTCAAAGCCCAGGAGCAGACTATGGCCTAGGCCGCTCGCTTCCTCTTTGAATGTACGCCATGTACGTTTCATATCGCCGTTGACGACAGACATTGGCGTGGGTCCGTCCACGACCGTCGGTTTATGTGACGTCGTCAGATACTTCGTGAAGAATCCGCGTATACGCGCTTGCAGTGTCGCATAAGCATTGCTCTCCATCAAGAAATGGCGGAAAGCTTCCAAATCTTCAATTTCAGTTGCATCAAGGGGGCGCTCCGCTGCCTCGTCCTCCGAACTATCTTCCGGTTCCAGTGTTCTCGGGTAGACATTGACTAGACAGGCATATCCTCGGAGAATTCGAAGATTATCTTCAAGTCCGCCGGCAACGCATCGCGCAGCTACACGGGCCTTCACATGGACAAGACGGGAAGCGGCAAATTCAAGATGGTCGTTGGCTTCGTCTTTTAGATCTCCAGCATAAGTCTTGATAGCTCCACGAACATGTCTCTCGAATCTTTTGTGCCCGATCTCTTCGCCGTTGCGAGCTGCTTCATAGAAAGGTATCAGGACCGGATCCTGCAGTAATATGGTGACGAAGATCTGAGTAGCGCGTTCGATCTGTTCAGATGAGAACCCGCTTTCTCTCGAGAGTGCCGTGGCTAGAGTGTCCGAGGACTCTACGGAGAACACGGAGTCCAAAGAATCCGATGTTGTGGATATGACGGATGCGTCATCATCTGGATCTTCCTGTACCCTTTGCTGTTTCTGTGAAACCACAAGTGCGCTGTCCGCTGCCTCCACTGATGCTGGGATTTCATGCTCGTTATCTTCATTGTGATCGAATGTGGCTAGGAACTCTTTGGTCGTTTGGTGGGCCAACGTGACCTTCCCTGTTTCAGGCGAAGCTTTGATCAAAGGACCAGGTCTTAATTCCAATCTGACTGCATCATTATCGCGGGGTATGTAGGCCTTGCAAGCCATGCACTGTATTGTCTGCTCATTCTCCCGACCACACTGGGTGCAGTTCCATACTTGGACGTACGACATGATGATGTTCAATTATTGTATTGGAATGCTTGGAGTTGGCATTAATGATGGACGAGCTGAGATGCGTGACTGGGTGGCGGTCGCATGGAGCTGATGAATGAAAGGACATCCGCATATGAAGCAACAGACTGGGCGCATCAGGCTGAGAATTGTCAGATGACTAGGCAGCCACAGCCTTGCCGTGAGGGATGTCTTCTTACTCTTCGCGTGAACATGATATCACAAACTGAAAATAGCGAGAAATTAATGACATGGCTTTCTTTGACATCGGATTGTCCATGGGCCGGGGGATTAGTACGCTATGCGATGGAAAAGGTTCATAGGCGACATCGTCGCATAGTGGCGTCGGTTAGCTACTATAGTGTTGGCTATGGCTCCGGAGAAGGCACACGACCGTTATATACCACTGTCGAACCGGGTTCAATATCTCGTTGGTCGTTTCGAGGTGAAATTCGCATGTCAAAAATTCGCATGTCAAGTTCTGCTATTACTGCGCTTCGGCCGTTGGAGATCGATCCGCTCGGTATCGCATTTGGTAACCCGCTAACCGTATTCACTCTACCTCGGCTCGATCATCACAAGCTCCAACCGACTCGCCCACCCAGGTCATCGGAGCCGACGACATCTCACTCCTCATCTTACGGACGTATCGGCGTTCTTCGTGACATTAATTTTCACCTTTCCGAACAGGAAGTTTCACCAGCTTCATCATAAGAAAAGAGAAAGAGCAAGGACAAAGGACATCGAACGAAACCACGCGATCACGAAGCAACAATGGCGGAAGCATACCAGAAAGAGTTCTTCAATGTCTCATTCCCGGCTGAACATGTTGCGCATGTTGAGATCAACCGACCGGAGAAGCTGAATGCTTTCAAAGAGGTGTAAGTAAACGACATTTCATCTGCTTTGCGGGAGGTCCGGGTTAATGGCTTCGGAATCAGCGCGTATCACGTGTTGCGATGAAAAAGAAGGATGCACACCAAGATCACATATTGTTGGGCAGGTGCATATGAAACGGTGTTCATTGATGATGTCCAAATCGATCTTAACCTCTATTCCATATGATGCACACACGTCAACAAAACCCCAAACTAACACACCCCCAGCATGTGGCTAAACCTCTCCACCATCTTCCGCGCCCTCTCCCACGACCCCTCCGTCCGCGCCGTCCTCCTAACCGGGTCCGGCGACCGCGCCTTCACCGCCGGCCTCGACGTGCAAGCCGCCTCAGAAAACGGCGCCCTATCCACGCAAGCCGACATCTCAGATGGCGCCCGCAAAGCCAACGCCCTCCGCCGACACATCCTAGAATTCCAATCCTGCATCACCGACATCGAAAAATGCGAGAAACCCGTCATCTGCGTGCTGCACGGCGTGTCCTTCGGTCTAGCGCTGGATATGAGTCTAGCGTGTGATATCCGTGTGAGTACGACGACGACGAGATTTAGTGTGAAAGAGGTGGATATAGGTCTTGCAGCTGATATTGGTACTTTATCGCGTCTGCCTCATTCTGTTGGAAACCTGTCCTGGGTCAAGGATATTGCGTTGTCGGCGCGGATCTTTGGGTCGGATGAGGCGCTGCAGCATGGGCTTGTGTCGAAGGTGTACAAGGATAAGCAAGAGGCGGTTACTGAATCGACCAAGTTGGCGACGTTGATTGCATCCAAGTCGCCGGTGGCGGTGCTGGGAACGAAGGAGATTATCAATTACTCCAGGGATAGGCCGATTAGTGAGGGACTGAATTACACGGCTGTGTGGAATGCGGCTATGTTGCAGACGGCGGATGTCAAGGATGCTATGATGAGTGGGTTGAAGAAGACGAGCCCCAAGTTCAGCAACTTGTAAAAAGGCCATCGCATGTGTTTTGGAAAGATCCTGGGATGCGATTATCATATGAAAGACTTTTATCCCATACCATATCCGAGCAGCGAGACACTTCGTTCGTCGCGGAGGACGTCTCAGTGAGCAACCTTAACATTCCATAGCCCACATACGAAAACATAAACCACCACGCATGGCAAGCAACCACTTTTGGACTTGAGAATTTTCATTGACTCTAAGCGCCTGGACGTGGTAATGCCGGAAGAGTCCCAAACCCATCCCGCATGAGCATCAATCATAACCCATGGCATGCTACAGAAGATGTGGAATCGTGATTTTCCCGTTACGCCCCGTTGCACTACCCAACATGCACTACCTTATCCCCTCGCCATGACACCCCAGCAGCGGATACGGTTGTCGGTGTATCCGGCGAACAGGGTCTGACCGTCGGCGCTCCAGGCCAAGGAGACACACTCGGGCTCCCGGCTCTTCTTGCCAACCTCCATGTACTCAGGCTTGAGCTCGTCAACCTTGGACTTCTTCTCAAGGTCGAAGATGATGATGCTGGAGGCGGTGGCAGCGCACAGCCAGTAGCGGTTGGGGGAGAAGACAAGGGCGTGGATCTCGTCACCGGCGGAGAGAGAGTAGAGGTGCTTGGACTCGTTCAGGTCCCACAGCATGGTGGTTCCGTCCTTACCACCGGAAGCGCAGAGAGAGCCATCGGGCGAGATGGTGACGGTGTTGATGTAGCCGGTGTGACCGATGTGGTCAGTCTGGATGCGGCAGGAAGCGAGTTCCCAGACCTGGATATTGTCAGCTTCCCGAATTTGAAGTGGCTTGAAGTAGATCGAGTGAGGAGCGTAAATCAGTACTAGGTGATAATTGTCTCATAGCCGAAGCTCTGAAGTAGCAAATACATAGATATTCATCATATAAACAAGGAAAGGGAGAAATTGGTGTAAACGCGGATGTACGCACCTTGACGAGCTTGTCCCAACCAGCAGAGACGATGACGGGGTTCTGGGGGTTGGGGGAGAAGCGGACGCACGAGACCCACTCGGTGTGGCCCTTGTCGGTGATGGTGTACTTGCAGTCACCGAGGGTGTTCCAGAGCTTGATGGTTCGGTCGCGCGATCCGGAGACGATCTGGCGGTTGTCGGCGGAGAAGGAGACGGAGAGAACGTCGTTGGTGTGGCCGACGAAGCGGCGGGTGGTGACACCGGTGGAGAGCTCCCAGAGGCGGAGAGTCTTGTCCCACGATGAGGAAAGAGCGTAGGCGCCGTCAGAGGAGATGACCTGTGCAGCAATTGTCAGCTCAGCTGTCGTCGCTTCCTAGCTAGCCAATTGCCCAATTTTGTAGTGAACGTACACAGTCGGAGACAATGTGGGAGTGACCGTGCAGACTCCTCTTGGGGTAACCGTAGGAGGTCTCGTCGCGGGTCAGGTTCCAGATGATCAGAGTCTTGTCGCGCGATCCGGACAGGAGCATGTTGGGGCTAATCGCGTGTCAGTATTGCGCATTCGTGCATTTTCCCTCATCCCGCGTATACGCACTTCTCCAGGGAGGTAGCAAGGGAGGTGACCCAGCCGGAGTGGCCCTCGAGGGTGCCACGGAGTACGAGTTGCTCGGCCATGATTGCGATGAGTGGCTTCTGCTTGGGATGGACGTAGGCGCACTCGGGTGTTAATAGTTGTTCGTCGAAGAGCACTGCGCACAAAGCCTGGAGGCTTCAAAATTCCAAGGTTGATAGGCGAACCACTAGCGTTGTTTGGGCTTAGCGCGGTCCGTCAGCACCGGAGCCCTTACTCGACATTTGACCTCACTTGGACATGACATTGTCAAGCCACTAATAAAGTGCCCGTAGTGAGGGTGCAGGTTCCCATGCAGGCATACATCCTCCTATCACAGTTCACACGATGTTCTATTCTCAGTAACTCACTCTCAAGTCAGGTATGAGGGGTAGTCAATATGCTTGCCCGAATCTCACCTGTGCACCATGTCATGTTATCGCTTGCATTAGTTAAGTACTCACGTTGATTTGCTTTCTGAAGGATTACACCAGTGCATGGCCAGGACTGGATGAAGCATCTCTACTCGTTCCTTCCCTGACCTCAAAACTTCCATCCAAAGCCGACTAAGTCCGGTCTCCCACGTCTTATCTCCGCGCTAATTCCCCACCATAGAAACATGTACAAAAGCATGGGACTGCATACCTCGCATGTGATAGAGATGACCTGATCTTGTTCTTGATCTAATGTGATGACTTATACCCACGTACATATAACAAGAAAGTGCTACCAGATGCGAACTCTAGATTACTTTCCCTCAACATAACATCCATCCCATAACACTCGCACACCACACTATCAAACATTTTTCCACAATGACCACCCCCCAAACCACCATTCTCTTCCTCGGCGCCGGCGAACTAGGCTCAGCCTTCCTCCCTCACCTCTCCGCCCTCCGCAACACCCACATCACAGTCGGCATACGCTCCCCATCCAAATACACTCACCTCCAATCCCCCAACATCTCCCTCACAGCCATCGACCTCTCCTCCCCCTCTCCCGACCTCGCACAAACGTTCTCCGCATACGACATCCTCATCTCCGCCACAGGCTTCGGCGCCGATCCCAGCAGCGTCCTCAAACTCGCCGAGGAAGCTCTGTTGGCTGGCAAGATCAGAAAAGAGCAGGGGAAAGACAGACTATGGTTCTTTCCCTGGCAGTGGGGTGTTGATTACGATGTCATTGGTGATGGAGAGGGTATGATGCCGTTGTTTGGTGCGCAGCGCGATGTGAGGGATTTGTTGAGGGAGAAGGCTGAGGAGAGCAATGTCAAGTGGACGGTCGTTAGTACGGGGATTTTCATGTCGTTTCTTTTCGAGCAGTTCTGGGGGATTGTGGATCGGAGTGAAGAGGCGCAAGGGAAAGTGGTAGTTAGGTGTCTGAGGGACTGGAATCACAAGGTTACTGTGACGGATGTGAACGATATTGGACGGGTGTTGACGAGGGTTATCGCGGAGGATGTGGAAGCTGAGGACCGTGTCTTGTATATTGCGGGTGATACGATTAGTTACGGGCAGCTGGCTGATATTCTCAAGCGAGCGAGCGGGAAGCAGGTTGAGCAGGAGGCGTGGAGTATTGAGCACTTGAAGCAGGAGCTTGACTCGGCGCCAGAAGATGGTATCAAGAAGTACAGGCTGGTATTCGCCAGGGATGGCGTGTGGTGGGAGATGAACAGGACGGTGAATAAAGCGTTGAGCATAGACATGATGGATGTTGAAACGTTTGCTAAGAGGCTATTTAGTAGATAGGAGGTGGTCGTCAGCTGAAAGCAATGAGCGTGTTGTAAGTTTCGATATAGATTTCGTAATCCGCATTAGGTGTAATTACTGATGAACTTTATGACAAGTAATACTACATAAGCGTGAGCCGAAAGCATCGCGACAGCCTGGGGATGGGACGTACTTGTTCCCACGTGCCTTCACAGCCGTCTCACTGCTCTCGCTTCCCCTAGGGTATGGTCCCAGCCTGCGCTATACCCTCTTGATCCGTGTCGGGACTATAGCATTCGCGCCTGTAGCTGCTCCACCTCCTTCTCGTCCACCACCCCTCATGGAAACCCCGGGTATATCTTCATCGTTCTGCCTCTTCCTCTTCATTCCCGCCTCAAGGGCCTCAGCTGCATAGTTGTCGTGACCAAAGGCAGGTATCATTCCTCCATGTGCACCAGGTCGCTCCTAACGTCCCGGTGGTCCAGGAGGGTATCTGCCAGGAGGTCCTCCAGGCGGCATTCCCATACCACCCGGTGGTGGGTAAGGCATTCCTCCAGGGGGTGAGCCTGCCTGTCCTGGTGGTGGGAATGGGAAGGGCGGCATTCCTTGGGGTGGGCCGCCTCCCATGTGCGGTGGTGGGAAGGGCGGCATACCGCCAGGGCCCGGTGGCATACCGTTTGGCGGAGGGAAGGGTGGCATTCCGTTGGGTGGCATTGGAGCTGTCGCGCTGTCAGTATGGGATCGTAAGTGGTAACTATGCGGCAACTTACGACCTCCGCGGCCCATGAAGTTTGGAGGCATTCCACCCATGGGCGGCATTCCTGGTGGCGGGAATCCAGGCATACCCATCGGTGGCATTCCCATTGGGGGCATCCCGCCCATAGGTCCTCCAGGGAAGCCACCAGCCAGGTTCTGTTGGAACAGCGGGTTGGCTTGGCCTTCTGTGTTGTACGCGTCGGTAATACTATTGATGACTTGCTGTGTCTGGTCGCTCGATATCTGCTCGTAGTAGGCTTGGACGTTGCGGAGATGGTTGCGACCGTTGTTGTGCGCCTTCCGCACGCTCATACTGTCGTGGGTGAGGTAGACATCGCAGTAGTCGCAGAAGAACTTCGGCATCGTGTACAAGGTGTTCGTCTGGGCGCAGAAATGGGATATTGGGATTGATGGAGTTGGTAGCGAAGTTGCGCGTGGAGTACGGAGCGCGTCGCAAGAGCTAGAACTGGAAGAATCCCGTCGGCGAAAGTTGCGCCGATGGTCTTGGCAAGCCTCATCGCCCTTTCACGTGTTCCGTCACAGAGTGCGCACCTTCCACATCATGCATCACTGCCCACGCCATCTCGCATTGATGCTGACTGGTCGCAATTCGAATTGGGCTCTCTGCAACATCCCGAATCTCATACAAGAGATCGACTTTCGCATGCATAGGCTGCGAACGTCGTCCTGTTGAATCCATCTACGGCTCCCTGAGGGACGCGTCCAACATGCTCTCGTCGAACCTCACATCACCGTCTCCTATTGAGGATCATGGGCCGAAACCTCAATCTCTACCTTCATAGCATCCTCGCCTAGTTTCACAACACCAACACACGTCCAGATAGGCTGATGATCCGGCATCCATTTCTTGAAATTCCGCACCATAGCCCCCAAGGCCTCATTGTCCATAGGGATGTGGTAAGAGTTTACGCGGAACACCTGCGACCAGCCCTTCCCACCAGCGGTCCTCAGAGCGAGTTCCACATTCTGGAAAGCTTGGTCGATCTGAGCGTCAATGTCTGCGGGTATGAGTCTGGTCATGGGATCCCATCCACCTACAGTCGCAGTCATCAGTTTGTGGAGCTCAAGGAAGTCACGGGTATGAGTTACCTTGGCCTGCACATTCGATTCGGTCGCCGATCCGGACTGACTGGCTGTATCTGGTGTTCTCTCTGGCCGACTCGCCCTTTCCAGGGTATGCGTAATACTGGAGGTGCGACATGTTTTTGCGGCTGTGTGTGTGTATAGATTCAATCTTTGGAGATCTCGCACGTATCGTGACATTGTGGTACCACAGCATTTATAGGTACCAACATTGGCATATGACGCATATACTAATCATATACAGTCCGGCTGACCAAGCTCGCAGGGAAGCTATCGTTAGCTGCTTGGGTGGGCTCACGGCTCCTTCTCCGCTGTTCCGCTGTACCACCGTGTCCGCTGCGCCATCGACAATACCACTCCGCCATGCATGATACGACAATGTACGATATGAGAATTAGGGTTCGGCCTACGGTGTTCAATTTAATTGAGTCGATAATCTGCACAACGAGGGAGCCCTCGGCTGCTGGCACGACAACTAGACAGACGTCTTTCACGACATCTCAACTCGCTCCACGGACTACGAGGTGGAACCAACAACATCAACCACTTTCCCGACATAGAGTGTCATACCCACGATGCGTCGCGTATCTTCCATGGCAACTAGATGTTGTCGTAAGCCTTCCCACACACCCGCTGCGAGCTGTCAGTACCGCACGTTGGAGAAGACAGAACATGACATACCAGACGTCGCTCCGAGAAGTCCTTGCGAAGCTCCAACCACACGTCTCGGTCTGTACAATCCCACTCGCCTTCCGAAACTGATCTGCACGACGGCTGTTGTCTTGCGACCTGTTCCTCTGTCGCGTTCAACCACGGTTTCGGCAACGGCCAGTCTGAAAAGTGGACAAACTTAGCTTCTTTCAGTGCGTCCCTTGCATTCCAAGCTTCCCTCGACGAACCAAGGTAAGCATCATGCTGGTCGATCTGGTGACGGAATTCACCAGTCAAAAGATCGTATCTACGATGCGGTATCACTAGAGTCGACGCACCGAACACCTTGTTCAAGATATCCATATCGTAGTCATAGCCCTCGTGGTGTTCCATTGCGCTTTGCACCCGCTGCCAGCCATCCTCCGATGGCTCGATGACTATGAGTTGGGACGATAGGAAGAACTGTTCAAGCCAGTATGCCCGAGGCATGGCGACAGGAGCCGTGGGAAGGAGGAAAAGCTCGTCCATATGCTACTAATCGTCAACACCGGTCATTGCAGCAAGCGACAGCTTCGCCTGTCAACGGGGAGAGGAACGTACATTCAGGAGCGTCGCGTCTGAGTCTAAAGAAATCACGCGCTTGTACTGAGTCTGATTCCATGCTAACAGTTTCGTGTAGCTGTCTTGCCACGTCGCATCCTTCTCATTGACATACGTCCTTACTTGAATAGGGTTCAGCTTTGCGTGATACTGGTCCCGAGCTTGAGCAAGCAGCTTGCCTTCATATTCGATTGGGGGTGCGTCGTCGTCGAGTACATCTTTGGGCACCTTCCACTTCTGTGGATACAACATGAGAAGATCGGCTCTCGTCCCATGTCGTCTGAGCGCCTCAAAGATCATGAGAGAGTTGCAGAGGTAGTTCGAGTTTGTTACATATTGTACGTATGCGAAGTCTGACCAGACTATGCTCTCGTCTGTGATTGGCATCGAGCACTGCAATGACTCCGTTTTGGAAGGAGGGTTGTGTTTAGTGAACTCTCGGAATTGGGTTGGAAGTCGAGCAACATGCTCATCGTACCTTACTAAGACACCCGCTAGCAGAAGAAAGGCTCCAACCATGAAAAGAACACGCAGCCTGCGTGCCGAAAGCGCATATTGGAAACGTACGGAGAGCGGTATATGCGAACCTCGACCATGGCATGCAAAGGAGGGCAGAGCAGAAGAGTTTGAAGACATGCCTAATGTACAGACGATCCTTGGACGTTGAGAAGTAAACACAAGAACTGAGACTGCGTGGCATGGAGCGTTGCTGGATGATTGCAAATGTAGGTCGTGGCCACTTCTCCGTCCCTCGGGAAGACACTGCGGGCGAGATTGCTTGCAGCAAGGCACACTCCATCACGAAGGCTGACTACATGCTGTCGGGAAATGACCGCATGACGACAACAAAAAGGTTACATTGTCGGCGGAGTACATCCTGTGCGATGCACAATGCTATTGTTATAGTACTTCAGGACCGATGCATGCACCGAGAACAGCATCTTCGACCAATCGTGCAAACTTCGGGCCCCGCCCGTGACTTCATTCGAAACGCCATGTAGGTTGTTATCCGTTCCAACTTACATGGATCGGAAGGCTCGTGTCACCGACGGGTGGGGTACCTTCTACACACCCGTTCGCACTGACTATGTATAGCAGGCCATGACTGGTCGTAAGATACCTCGTTGTGACTTATCACACTGTCTCTGATACAACAGTCACACGCCTTCCGATGTCTTCACGATCTTTCCTCCAGATAGGCGTCAATTTCCTGGTCTTCTTCATAGTTCGCTCGACTACGCAGAGCCACCTGGATGTACCATGGAGTGACAAGAAGTATGGCCCCGATGGACCATGGCAAGCTGTACGAATTACGGTCGGAGGCAATGATACCAATCTGAAGATAGGAGGTCAGAACCACGCCGACGTCGACGTCTATCCGGGAGGATCGTTTGAGAGTTTCATCTTCAGCCAATCAGCTTGCGATCCTTTCCCCGATAGTACTTGTGGTGAAGGAGGCACGTGGGAGCCAGATGCTGGTGCAACCAGCTTCCTCCCACTGGGCGGGTGGCACCCTACTGTCAAAATCCCATCTTTCGGTCTAATGGCGGGCCCCGCGAACTATACGGATCGAGCGTTGACAATCCGCGGCACGACAGTATGGAACGCCTCAATCATGCATACGAATTCAGGAAACATCACGGCTTTTGATGGCAAGGTGTCAGGGATGAGGCTCGGCTACTTGGGTCTTGGGGGCGGAGAGCAAGTGCAGACCTTCTCGGAAAGCGACACTGTTGCCGGGTACGACGTATCACTCAACGTCTATAACGGTAAGCTATACAAGGATGGCATCATCGGTTCATATTCGTACCTGCTACATATCGGATCCGCTGCATTCGACTATCCTGGCTCACTGGTCTTCGGTGGCTACAACAAAGGTCGCGTTATAGGTCCACCAACGTCCTTTCGAGACCAGGATAAAGTCGACCTCCTTGACATTGGCATCGGGGTTGAGTATGGCGAATCACCCTTCGATGTGGACAGCATCAGTAATCTGCTTGTCGCCGACACTGGCGAGACAGGAAAGGCCCAACAAGTCATCATCGACCCTCGTAACCCGTACCTGTCACTACCGGACAACACATGCGAAGGCCTTGCCAAAGTACTTCCGATCAAGTACGATCCAACGACGAAATACTTTCTCTGGAAGACGGACGACTCAAACTATGCCAAGATCGTCACCTCTCCTGCATACCTCAGCTTTACCTTCCCCCCTGGATCTGGAGCCAACCTCAATGTCACGATCAAAGTTCCTTTCGCACTACTCAACCTCACACTTGACACCCCTATCGTCGAGAAGCCGACACCCTATTTCCCCTGCCACTCTTACACGCCTACAAACGAGGACGACCGCTATAGGTTAGGCCGCGCCTTCCTCCAAGCAGCCTACGTCGGTCGCAACTGGGCTTCGCAGATAACATGGCTTGGTCAAGCTCCTGGGCCAGGCTTCAACGGTCAGGGCCTAGGTGACCAGCTCACGGACATTGCCGACGGAGCAACCACTCTAGACTACTGGGATAGCGAGAAGACGAACTACTTCAACCAGAGCTGGGCGGGACACTGGAGTGTCGTTGAGAGCGTGAAGCCGAATTCACCTAACGACACCGATGTGAGCACATCAGGGAGTAAGACACGATCTGAGCAAAGCCTGTCAACGGCTGCCAAAGCAGGTATCGGGATCGGCGCTGCACTTGGCGGTATAGCCATCATCGCTGTTGTCTTCTTCCTATGTTTTCGACGCAAACGCAACCGTAAAGTCGTTCCGGATGATGGTCTTCCCACGCCGCAACAACACGCATACGGCTCGCCAATGTCACCAATGTCGGCGCTATCACCAATGCCAGCTCAATATGGTCAGCCAGAGAAAAAGAACAATGAGTTCTATTCGGGTACGCAGGAGATGTACACGGCTCCGGTGGCTCAGGAGTTGCCCGATTCGAACGACGTGCGACACAACTGATTGGTGCAAGATCTACCTTGCTGGTGTGGTCAGTACGGTTTAGAAGACTATCCTGTCTTGCGAACACATGTACAAGTAGGTGTAGCGCGATATATCTCCTTTGTATTAACGATTTCATGATGGGGTACGGTGTTTTCGAGTTCAGAGGCGTTGGCAACATCATTCATAGCGTTCGAATTAGCAACATCGGCGATTGATAACTTTGACCTGGCGCACGATGACGCGGGATATATTGAGTAGCAGGGATTGAACTCGGTGTCATGCGGGGTACTGCTTTGAGATAGATGTTCGTCCGTATACAATGATTACAACTCATGCCTTCCATCACCACTGGCAAACAGGCGCGCGTGCTTCTACACGGGTTCTGAGTAATCGAGGAGGTTTGAACCTCATATTCTCTTTCGACGAAACTGCTACATAACAACTGAATGTTTTGGCTGGCATGGCTGCGCTCAGCGGTTGGGTCTAAACCTTGTACGATGTGCTCGTCTACAGGCTAGTGCGAGAAGGGACTCAAGCAGCGAGAGATGCCTGCCGTGCGATAATGCACGACAAAACATGCTTACGCCCAGCAATGCAATGGGCAAGACATATATGATGCGTCGCGAGACGAGATGCGCATCGCACAGTATTCCCCCTCCTTCAGTGTATTCCGTCGTAGAATGGCGGTTAGCGTTGACGATGGCGTGGCCAGCCCCGCGCTGAACAATTACAACAGCCTCATCGCGATTGGCGTACCAACCGCACTATTGCTAACACACCTCATCCGCGTCGCACTGCAATGGTACCGTCTATCGCACATCCCCGGACCCTTTTGGGCATCAATCTCCACCTACTGGATCATATCGAAATCGCTCAAAGGACAACTTCCACGCGCGACGAAAGAACTAACCGACAAATATGGCCCGCTGGTACGCGTCAGCCCAACCGACCTGGTCACCAGCGATCCAGACATTGTGCGCAGAACAACGGCAGTGCGGTCTGAATACACACGAGGGCCATGGTACGATGCGATGAAGCTGGAGCCTGGACGCGACAATCTCTTTTCGATGCGCGACGAGGCGGCGCATTTGAGGTTGAGGAATAAGATGGCCCCTGGCTACTCCGGGAAGGAGAATGAGTCTATGGAAGGCACCGTCGATGAACAGGTTGCTGCGTTCATCGATTTGATCGAGACGAAGTATATCTCGACCGCGACCGAATACCGACCTATGGATCTAGCGCTCAAAACGCAGTACTTCACCCTCGACGTCATCAGCGCACTGGCATTCGGGAAACCGATGGGGTATCTGAAGCAAGACGTCGATCTCCACGATTACATCAAGATCACCACGACATACGTTCCCGTTATGATGGCGCTTTCGTACGTGCCTTGGCTGGCGAATCTGTTACATTCGCGCCTGTTGAGAGGCGTGCTTCCCAAAGAGAGCGACAAGCTCGGCTTCGGGGCTTTCATCAACGTTGCAAGGAAAGCGGTTGCGGAAAGATTTGCATCCGAGGAGTCCAAGCCAAAGTCCGACATGCTCGGATCTTTTATTCGTCATGGTCTTACGCCGGAAGAAGCATCGAGCGAAGCTCTCTTGCAGATTATCGCTGGTAGCGATACTTCGGCGTCTACGATTCGCGCTGTAATGCTCTATACGCTGGCCAATGCATCTTCTTATAGAAGACTACAAGCGGAGATCGATGACGGTATTGCTGCTGGGACGATTTCCTCGCCTATTACGGATGCTGAGGCGCGACAACTACCGTATCTTCAGGCTACTATCAAAGAGGGCTTGCGCATTCTGCCTCCAGCGAGTGGGTCGAACTTCAAAAGCGTTCCTGCAGGCGGTGATATCCTTGCCGGCAAATTCATTCCTGCAGGCACGCAGATTGGGTCTTCCTATCTCAGCATCCAGCACTCTACAGAAATCTTCGGTCCAGATGCTGAGCTCTTCAGGCCAGAACGTTGGCTGGACGCTTCGGAAGATCCTGCACGTCTTGCGCACATGGCCAGTACCGTGGACCTAGTCTTCCACTACGGGAAATACAAGTGCTTGGGCCAGAACGTCGCGTTGATGGAATTCAACAAGGTTTTCGTGGAGCTACTGCGGAGGTTTGACTTCTCGATCGTACATCCGCACGCAGCAGCGAGGATACACAATGCCGGGATGTGGATTATGGAGGACTTTTCAGTTAGGGTCACACGACGTGTAGTCTGATTAAGACATGACCAGGGCTGAGTGATATGCGCTTCCCATTGCCGTAGTGCTGATGCACTTGTTAGGTCTTACGGCGGGTTGCGGCAGAT